CAGTGAAGCTCAAACATTCAACTGTAGGAACAAGAAGAAAAACATATTTTTGAGTGGAGTGGGACATTTTGTTCTTGCTTCAATAGTAGTGGTTGTGTCACATGAGTGTGTTCTTTGGACAACATCTTCTGCATTTATTAGTAGTTTTTTAGGTATTTAGAGCAGCTGCTGGATATGTGTACCATTATATCATGAGGTAAAACTATGCTCTGGATTCAACCATTACTGTTTTCCCCAACACATGCACTATTATAATCCCAATATGATAAAAACCAGGACGAGACTCTGAAAACTATTGTGCATTGAAATGTACAGACAATAATGATGAGTTTATATTATTTTGAAGGTAGTTCTATAAATTGAAAGCATTGCAGCTATATGTATGTAAAGGTCACACTGACTATTAATATAATTATCCCTTTTTCATCACCATGATCATGATCATTTTCCCTACTGCGTGTAAACCCAAGGAAACATTAGCTTCCTTTATCAGTGGTGGAATTTTTCAAATAGCAATCTTCATAAGAGCATGGGAAAGTGAACCAGACAGAAAGAAGGGGAAGCGTCTGAATGTGTGTCTCTTCCTGTGACCTTCCGCCCCGGCCATCCATCACCGAGGTAGGATTTAAGAAACAAATCGACTATCTGTCTCCTTTAGTCTCTTTCTTTCATTCCACTATCTGCTTGCTCACTCGAATCACAAACTATCTGTTAGTCACAGAACGTTCAGCAAACAGGATAAGTTGCGTCTGAGAGCGAGGAAGAGGGAGAGAGAAGCAACAAAATGACAAACATAGTGAACAGAGAGCAAACAGGGAAACAGACGCTGACAGGAGGAGACAAAGATACAGAGAGATACAGATAAAATGTGTCTTTAAACAAAATAAGCGAACATTCTGCTCCTTCTCAGTAAAACACTGAATAAACATCACTACCAGCCCATCTCCTTGGCATATATATCAGGGGAACCCTGGCCTACATGCTGTTAGAATCTCCTCTGCTAGTTTCCCATCGGCCTGCACAGGAGTGCAGCCAGACTGGCACGTGGACCGAGTGTGGCTTACAACCCTCCAGCAGGCAGGCAAGCGGCCGAACAGCTGGATCAGTGCCCGGGATACGAGCTCCGTCCCTGCAGAGAGAGGGTGTACTCCTCTCCCTGCTGCCTCTTTCGCCTGCCAGTCCAACGCTGCTGCAAGGGCATCTCGTTCCACACAGGGTGACTGCAGGGCCTCCTCTATGAGCACATGAAAAGACTGCACCCAACCTGTATGCCATGCTGCAACACTCACTCACACACAGGATGGTCCACTCATACGATCCCACTTGTTATAAGGCCACACTGAAGGAGGTCCCCTTTCTTATTCAGTGCACATGAGGAGGTTGATGCAAGCATGGCATCAGGACTGAAAATCACTCATTATTTTAACACTCAAATGCAAAATGGATCCTCACTGTGCGTGGCAGTGAGTGTCCCTCCTCTCATATGCACTGAGCTAACGTCACAACCCACATTCAAAAAAATCAGACAATCACATAAGAGCCACTGACACACGCGTGTCCTCCAGCAAATGTCTTACAATGCAAATACATGTTTTAATAAAATGTCAACCATGACATTTGAAAAATACCCAAAGCAAATGACTGAAGATTTTATCACAATTTTTTTTAAAATGAAGGAAAAACGCCATTCTGTTGTTGAACACATGAGCGAATCATTACACTCCACATCTTGGATCATTTACCCTGTTGATGCCACTGCAAATTCTGCATGAGCGGAAACGTTCAATTCCCAGTCTAAAAAAAAAAAAAATCATGCGTAAAAGAAGGTGTGCCATTTTTGGCGCACCGCTGTGATGTGTCCTACGAGGAGCTGCCTTACCTGAATCGGGGTGAGTCTTTTATACATTCTTCAAAGTCCACCGTCATTTTTGCGTTTTCTCGTGTATTCCCTCTTCAGTCTGCAAATGTCATTGCCCGCGGCGGGATGTCGCTTGAACCGTGCGGATGGTGACTGGTATCCCCTGACGCGCAGCAGTCTGTCGCCCCTCTCCCGGTGGCACCGTGACACAGAATGCGAGCGGAGAGCGCGGCGGGCAAATTACTACTACACACTGCTGCCGACACAGGCGAGAGGCGTAGCTGCACCGTGGAGGTTGAAGGAGGAGAGGAGAGGAGAGCGCCGACTGGTTACAACCCGCCGCAACGACTCCAGAGAACAGGAGGAATCATGGGAGGATGAAAGTGTCGCCACACAACCTCACTGAATACAATATATAATCAGTGTACAATGACCGCCATCATCCCTCCAATCTTACGGTGTCCATATACAGTTTATAATCAGAATCAGAAATACTTTAATAATCCCAGGGGGGAATTAATGAGCCTAACAAATGGAGATTAGTCATATTTTCAGATTAAAATGTGATATTTACTCCTTACCTCAATTGTTCTGCCAAAACCTGAATGCAATCAAACACTCGTAGAGTAACAGATAGGCTACTGTTGAATTGTCCAAATGAGGGCTACTTCACCAATAATTACATTAATAAAATAATCATATGAACCTACATATCTAAAGTTGTTTAACAAAGTCGAGTATCTGACAACTGAAAAAAATGAGTGGAACTAATAAACTGTGTTATCCTTTACAACTCTATGAATATACAACTATATACAGAATCTTTATAGTTTAATCCCAGATTATTGACAGTACTCTGTATATAATATATATATATAATAAGTAACTGAAAAAAGGGGAAATTCAGGCACATATTTCTAACAATATCAGCCTGTCTGTTTCTCTTTCTCTTTTCTTGTCTCTTTTCTTGTCTCAGTCCCGTTGCTCGTGTTCAGTGTATGGACTCATCTCCAAAGAAGCAGAGTCTCTGGTCTCAATGGTTTCTGAAGGCAGGTGGTTTACGACGACACACACCCCCTCTGTGCATTGTGACGCCATCAAAAAGGGACCAGCGGGACTACAGCCCTAAAAAACAAAAAAACGCCTCAGACATAAAGAAGAAAGCGTTGCTTCTGAAACTACACATTGGTGTTGACATGTGTAGTTTGAGTGCGTGCATACAGACAACATGTTGGGCAGGCAGCGCGTGGACAAACATGTTGCCAAAGAGGGCTCGAGGAGGGATGTCCGTGTGTGTTTGTCTGTGTGTGTTTGTCTGTTTGACGTAATGCTTTTATGTTGGTTATTTTATCGAGTAAACAACAACACACTGATATAGTAGTGGATATATAACACTGAACACACTCACACACTAACCTGCTCCTCTAAAACCTCAGTGGACACTCTGCTAGTGGAGTCTCTAATCTTCTTCCGGACTACAAATTCAACCATGAGCCTACTCGAAAGGGATTCGTGTTGGAGCTCCCGGTGCTGTTGTCTGTCGCGTCTGTTCAGTCCTTAAACACATGAGTGCTTCAGAGGTTAGTGAAAGTGGATGTGACGTTTGGCTCTTATAAACATTATGATCAGGCAGTGTGGCACACATCTGGACGGACCATGCGCAACCGGGCTCGCTATCTCATCTTTTTCCAGTACATTGGGACAAAATACAGGTGGGTTACAACTGCAGGGGGACTGTTCACTGCTACGGGTCACTGGTGTTATTATTGATTTATTATTTGAGTATCGTTGTTTCTGTAGCGGTGTAATGAAGGGGCCTCCACATCAGCTGCATAGGAGAGGGGTTCAGGACCACCTGGAGGTAAGTTTGACCAAATATTAGTGTCTTATCTTCCAATACTCATCCAGCATTTCCTCATGTCTTCCTTGCAACATCAGGTCTAGTCCTGCAAACTAATTCTGGTTCATGCTGAATACCGTCAGTTATATTGACACACCACCACCACCCATGGCATACAGGCATGAGGTACACACCTATAATGCAGTAAAATGCAACAGTCCTGCTGTAAATCCAACCGTCATAGGGTTTCTTAGGTTTTCATTCATCTGTATGGTCATTATGGATGAACTGTATTGTGTTATACTGATGCTTGGTTCTATGATTTTGTCCTTCCCATTTGTATCAGTGGCGCCAGCTAAATAACAGATGCCTCTCTGCGTAATAATATGTAATATGTACCCCAGGGAGCCCTTATTGTCCAGGGGTTAACCTCTTGACTATGAACTATAACATCCTCAGTTTGCATCTGGCAGAAGAGCTTTGTTGCATCTAATTCCCCCATTACTCTCTCTCCTCATTTCCTGTCACCTCTCTGCTGTGTATCTAATACTGCTTTTCTAATAAAGGCATAGAACTGCCCTAAAATATATTAGAAACAGAGAACGTACAGACACAGGAAAGAAGAGAAAGATTGCAGACTTTGTTACATCATGCTGCCGTTTATAGCTCTACTTGATATCTCTTTTTTCTCTGACTATTTGTGGCAAGCTTTGAGTTCAAAAGTAATTCTTTCAAAAGGTTTTTTTTTTTTTTTTACGATATAACAACATGTCCCCTCTGTCTGTGTGCAGGATGCAATAAGGAGGCTCATGCCGCTCAACCCGGTCTCTCTGTCAGTCTCAAGCAGGACAGACACAGGTGTCCACGCCCTCTCTAACTCTGCCCACTTCGACCTCCAACGCAGGAACAATATGCCGCCGTTTACTGAGGGCATTCTTATTGAGGCCCTTAATTTCCACTTGAAGACAGAGCAGATCAGGTGAGTCAGGACTCAGGTTAAACTTAACAAACTTGTTCAGTTCAGTACATTTTTTTCAGACTGATCCCAAGGACCCTTTCTCATCATTTAAGTTAATGCATGAAAGTTTGTTTATGGCGCCATTAGACTTGTTCTGCTACTGAGCTGTGTGTCTCAGTGTTACAGCACTCTGAAGGAATCTCTGAACATTTGATTCAAACAATGAGACATCAAAAGCGTAGACAAGTAGACAAGTACGTACTATTGCTGCCTTAAAATTCCAGTGTCTTACATTATCTGTGATGCCCCTCATATTTATTTATATCTCGTATTTTACTCGTGATCCGTTTTCAAAAATTTTCTTTATTTCTGCAAGCATCTACAATAGGCATGCATTAATGTCACATTTTCACATGAAACTAACAGCAGATGGCTGTTATGAGTGGGTTGAACTGCGATACCAGAAGGGAATAAATAAATAACTTTGAAATTGATCAGAATTAACAATGATATGTTCCAATAACTGGTCTGTAAACTTGGACACAGATTGGACATTTAGTAACATAGAAAGCTGTTTAGTTTGTTCCCGTCCCACATAGGACTTGGGACACTGTTGTAGGTAAAACATGAATATCATAAATATACAGTCGATAGATTTATGAAGCTCAACACCTGGCAAATAACTTTACACTAAACAAAGGCTTTTCTGGATTAATTTGTGTGTACCATTTCAATGTTTTTGATTATTTTTGAGTCTATGAATGTAAATACATCATGTCAGATGCTGAATATTATGTGTTTGCCCCCAAGAGGGGAATGACCTCTACATCTTTCATCCCCTCAAATATCGATATGGAGGAATTCTGTCAAATATATTTGAATTGGTCAAGTTCAACCTCTTTATGCATGAAAAACACACTACTCTGTTGACAAAATAAACATAAACTGGCAAATAGACTCAAATCCTTTGGAGAATTGAACTGTAGAGAAACCTGGAGCATTGTGTTTAAAGCCTTAAAGCACACATAAATATCCACTAATGTATTGTCATATTTATACATCATATATATAACAGTGCACAACAGCATATCTGTGTGATATAACTATTCTTATTATCTACGCCAGCATAAACATACAGTAGCTTAGATCACCTGTTGAGTTTTATGTAAGTACTTGAAATCCTGATTGGTAGTGCTCCACCTTTTTTCCCTTTGCTTTTCTTATCCTCCTCTTTTTAATCCCTTCATTACACATGGTTGCATTATTCAAAGCCATAGTCACTTTCTTATGGCTACAGACGGCTGTGATATTTAGTCAGCAGCTTTTATTGTCTGAGAGAGAGGAGAAGAAGAGAAGAGGAGCACAGAGACACACAGAGAGAAGGACAAAGGAGATAAATGCAGGTACGGATAGTGAGGGATGAAGGGAGTCAGTGAGAGAGGGTGCGGAAAGACTACATTAGAGCACCAAACAGATATTGACACAGTCTGAATTAAGACAGAGGAGAGAAGTGAGTGTGAAACAGAACGAGCCATCTGGGAGACGGATAGAGAGAAGAGAGAGAGAAGAGAGGAGGGAGGAAAGGGAAGCTCCCAGCATCCCGCTAATCCTTAAACCTGCAGAGAGAAGGTTAGAAAGGATTATCCCTGCTCTGCTTTTTGGTCTATAGCATCCATTAACACACACACACACACACACACACACACAGATACAGAGACACTCATCTAGCTAAATGGAAATTACTGTCTTGATTAGTATGTGAAACTTGCAGAGAAATATACAGCGTAAACATACTGTTTGTTTTCAGATGCATCATATGTCACAAAGACACTTCATAAAGTGTCATGAAAGGAATTATTTATGGCCTCTGAACCTCCTTATATACACAGTGCCAGAAATATTCCACTACCAGTAATGTCCATACACACTCCCTGTGTTCAGACTGGATAGAAGTTTTCATTCTTCATCTGTCATGAAAACACATTGTCAGTTTTGGCACCCCAAACCCTCTTTTTACATCTTACTTGGAGGGAAGAAGTTTTTGTTACAGCAACAATAAGAATATGGCTCCTGGCTCGTAGCTTTGGTCTGCTGCCTCCTGAGATAGAGCGGCAAAGCGAGGTTTAAACATGGACCGCACGCTGTAAAAAACATCTCTCCAGTCGGGGGTTCACTTGTCTTCTGCACTGCCGTGAAAAAGGGCCTCAATTAACCTAAAATGAGCTACACAAGTGGAAACTGCTGAGTAGCAAATGGTGCCATGCCACACAATGCCCGAGTTCCCAAATGTGTGAGGCCATGCTTTGTGCTTATGAAAAATGTATGTGTGTGTGTGTGTGGTTTAGGGGCCAGGCAAAGGCTGTCACTACACATTGGAGCAGGCGCTAAAGGCAGACGCAAGGGTTTCCTCTGCCACGTGTCACACCCAATCTCCTCCCCTGGAAACGTAACCTAGTTTCTCTGACTGTACGGTGGCACACACAAACACACACACATAGACATGCACTGCTGTGTACAGAAAACGAGACGTATGTGCAGATACATTAGATGTGTTTATTGGCTCATCGTTGTTCTCACAGTGCTATACACTCATACACGCTAACACGCCCCTACCCATTGTCTTACACACAACACACACGTGCATGAATGCATACTGGCGTGTGTGGATGAACACTACAGGGTGCTCGTGAGGTGTGTGCAGTCACAGTCACGCAGTTGACTGCAGCTCTTTGTTCTTTCAGTTTACAGATGTAAACAAAACATATTCTCCACTTGACCCTGTATCATCACTTTACAATACATCTCGGCCTTATTGAAGAGAGATTTTACTTTATTTATTTGCTGTGAACATATGAAGAATGACTGAATGAAAGCAGCCATTAAGAGACATTAGTTTTATGTGGTCTTGCTCAGTTACACTTTTGACCATTTAAAAAGAAAATGCTGCAGTCACAACAACCCAGATCCTCCTGTCCCTCACCTGGAAGACCAGTGATGATTTTTAGACTTAAAATTTAAATTTGGGAATATTATATTTACAAAGAGGGGTGTTTTATTTAGTGTATTATTTGCTCTGTATGATACCTTTTACATTTTACTATAGTTTGTATTTGTGACGCCTTTGACTGGTTGGTGAGAGTCTGCATGTGCTGTAAAACAGGTTTGAACAATGCAAAAACTGAGCGTGCCCCCGCTGTAGTCACATCAAACAGCTCCAGCCTCTTGAGTATGTTGTGATGCTAGCTGTGTGAGCATAAGCACTTGGCTCTTTAGGGTTCTTGGCAGCCCTAAAACGGGTGTGCTTTTGTATAAAAAGCTGCAATGTTGGCATTTTGGACAATGACTTGTACACAGTTTGTTCTTGCTGGCAGTACTAAATGAGTATTAACACCCTCTGTGTCTGGAGACGGCTTCAATCTCAGGAAGAAATGAAGCACAGTTGATGTCTGGTTGTTTAATTTTTGTCTAAACATCCACCAGAATTCAAATGTTTGACATTATTTTCTGTGATTTTTGAAGAAATGAGTGCACATTCATAATGTCAGGCATACAGTACAGCTAAAACGTACAGCTAAATGGATGTCAGCGTTCACTCCAGCTGCTCTTTTGTCACTCTGCCAGGATTACCAAAGCCCACCGCGTGCCTGATGATTTCCATGCCCGTTATCAAGCCCAGTCTCGGACCTACGTCTACCGGATAGCCTTGGGAATCCCCAACCACTTACTGCTTCCCCTCACAGACCTCGAGTTCTGCTGGAGCCTCCGCGAGACGTGAGTTATCCCACTTTAAACACCTTCCCTCCCTTCATTCACTCATCAGGCGCGTCATCCTTCATCCCTGTTTGTGTGTATGATGATTTCCCTTAAGAATCAACATTGAGCTCAGACTCGAGCTCATTCTAACAAGTAGGTCCAGTGACACACACACACACAAAGACACACCCTCAGTTAAGCTCATGCCAAGCCTTGCAGAAACAATGGCACGTTAAACACATGCATAATGCACACGTGCCATGCCGGAACTGCAAATTAGGGCCAGTCAAACAAAGTGTTTCATCCGAGCTGACATCCCAAAAACAAACAAAGGAGATGGAGGGAGAGAAAGGAGATGGGAATAAGGATGGACAGAGTAGAAAGAGAGAAAGATACAGATGAAATGGCGAGTGCTTTTAGCTGTGATTGGAAAGAGGGAGCGTGAAGAAACACATTTCAGAAAGCGTATGTATGAGCATTTGTCTGCTCTTCACTTTTTTGGGGAAAAGTAGGGCAAGATAAGCTGCAGGCTTATACACATGCAGAACAACACCCACGCACATTACCCTGTGTTTTTTTCTCTCTCTCTCTCTC